AATGAAGCAAAAGACATGGCTCACACTCGGGCTGTGTTTCATCTAAGAAGCAGAAGAGCTGCGTTTTTTTAATGCTCATCCATCTGAACTGTGTTTTACTCTCTTGCATAAAATCCAAAGTCATGAATTTTGCTGTGAGGAAAGGATCCATCATTTTCACCAATATACTTGTTTTCCTTAAAAATCAATATATGGAAATCCCCGAGAGCTTTGCACACAGATGTCTGCAGAAGGCTTATTGCTGCCAAGTTTTTCCAATGTGTCAAATAATCTTTGTATAATTTATAAATTATAACAAAGCAATCAGGCCACATTCATAAAAGCCCAGTGACACATAATTTAGCTGAATCTGAGGATTAGAATTAATTGTCTCTCTTTGTTCCAAGTTCTAAATCTTAGTAAATGATTCACTGCATGTCATTACAGCTTAATATTTGCATGAAATCACAGTTTAACTGACATAATTTAACAGCAATTAAAAAGCTATTTAATCGTCATGCAAATTGGCATGAGGGGCGTTGAGTATGAAGGGTGTCTGAGATTTTTTTCAGTATTTGCAGGCGGACAGTCATATACTTTCAGACACCCCTAACATAATTGATAATGTTGTCCCTATTCATTGAAATGTGAATATACAATAATTCATGTTTTTTCTTACAATTGAGGATTAAGTCCCAAATCATGAATATAACAACCTTCACTCTCCAGTACAAATAAAAAATAAATTTAAAAAAAAACTGTATTTTATCTACTGTATTGGTTCTTCTACTGATGCCGTCTACATATAGTATAACAAAAATCTGATAGAAAATCAAAATTGACAAAGCCAGGCAAAACGCTCCTATTGCCTGGATTCACATTAATTCCTGTTTTGGCCTGCCAAAGTTGATGAAGTAACATAAGAAAACCTGAGCTATGATGACCCATTGTCATAATAGCTATAGTTTATGTAAGAATAAATTTAAGCCAGTTTTAAAACATTGGCTCCAGTCCTTCGAGCAATTACACACATGCTTAGTTCTAAGTGCATGAGTATTACCAATTATTTCAAGGGGATTACTGATCCGCTTAAAGTTATGCACATATGTAAGTGCGATTAAGGCTCATCCTCCATATTCCTAAAACTCCTCGTTGGTTTTAACAGTGGGAATTTGTTGAGAGCAGTCATTATTTAATTCTCACAGCATGTTTTTAGAGGAAACATAATTACTCCTGTCTTCTGCACATAAATAAGAAGAACTGAAGCTGAAGTAATCTGTGCTAGTTTTAGCTTACTCTGATCTCAGAACTCTTTTCCAGAGCAGCTAGAACCATCAACTTCACAGTAATTTTACAGGAGGTTTAGAGACTTGTAAATCTGAGACACTCTAAGGTTGTAGGAGCTTTTGGACCACATCAGCATCTTCAAGGCTATACCTTGTCTCTGTTTTCCACACCGTTGGAAAATGATATATCAATATAATTAGCCTTTGTTAACAAGTTGCATCTATAAATACTTACATACTACAGTATTTCAGACGCTTTGGTGTTAGATTTATCACAAGGTCACAGTCAAAGACCAGGAAGGAAATACTCAACATAATCCCAGTGACCATAAAACCTGCGAATTACAAAACTAATTTTCATCTGACGGGTTCCAGAAATATCGATTTTCAGTACAAATGAGCCACATACCGTTCAGCTAAATGATTCCTTGATATGCTGAAAAATAACTGGTCTTTACTGTCAGGGGCTTTTTGGCCACTAACTATGAACTCTGCACAGATAGATATACGAATAAATACTCACACATTCAAAATATTTTAAACTTTCTTGTCCACTAAAAAAATGCAAAGCGATGTAACACCTCCAAATATTTTAATTATCAAGTGCTTGAAATCCAGCAGCTAACTCATCATTTACTTTAGGGCAAAAATCATTTTAATGAAAACATAGTCTCAGCTCTTTAAAGTTACAAATAAATGCCAGAAAGAAGAAAGCAACTCAAATGTTCAACTACAGTTCACAGAAAACCTTAACATTTATTAGTTCACATTATCCCTCCCATGCCATACAAACTTTTTTCCCCTTTACAAGCACTCCAGCTTTTATACCCACATTTATGCCACATAAGTAAACAAATAGCATCACTTAAAAATTACAAATGTTGGTGAATAGTGACCTTTTTTCTGCAACTATTACTGCCTCTGTCCTTCATTAAAGTTAGTATTCATTCTCGCTGCTATGTGTAGGTACAACTGTATAGATCTTTACTACTATATAGTTTATTAGTAAAATGTAAGATATAGTAATGTTTTCTGTTAAAGTATGGTCCATTTTAGTTTTCAGGGTCATCTTCACAAATTAAGAACTTGAATAAATGGATCTATTTCAATTGTAGGTGACTATTTCAGAACCACTCATGGGCTGGATTTTCTAAATCAATACATTTTGTTCAGTCAAATAAATAGCTAAAAGTTTGAAAATCGAATCAGCGTATCAGTGCTGTAGTAATTGCGGATCTTAAGGTAAAAAAGAAATAATGGAATTGAATTATTAGGAAAAAGTAGTATGTGTTTTTGTTTTTTTTTTCTGAGATTTGAAATCCTGATTTATATATGAAATGTTGGGAGGAGCTTTGATATTTTGTTTTCCTTCCTAATGCAAAGTTCTGACCATTTATGTGACCATCCTTTGGGCACAAGGTCTTGCCCTCATCCTACAAGTAGTTGAACTGGACTTTACAAGAGTGTTGATCAATACTTTTGTTTCTTTATTTAGTTCTTCTCTCATTGTCTTAATGTTTTTATAAAGGACATTATATTTTAATTATCTAACTCTCTCAGATTTACTGAGCCACTCAATTTGTTGGGTGAAATACATTCTGTGTAAGAATTAGCTGATGTCTTTTGCAAATGTTTCATACAGTCTTTCAGTCTGCTTGAGAGACCCTGAAGTAATGAAAAGCTCACTCGAAGTTTGAACAGTATCTCAATCAAAACTTTATACTTAAGTCTTGCTGGCAGGTTGTATAAATCATGAAAAGCAGCAAAGCAAGCTGAAAGTTTTCAAAGTTCTGCTAACCATTGGCTAAGCAATCCGTGTGCACTGTGATTTTATGTTGAGAGCTGGGAATATAATGCTTATTCAACTCATTCAGCTCAAAAAAACCCGGAGATCGCCAGTTGAGTTTACCACAGTCATCTTATATATATCAAAACCTGGAGTAGAAGGCCTTGCATTTCGCCAAATCTGTGTTTCTTACATAATTTTTATGGGCATATTTTGGGTCTATACACAAATTGCTTTTGAAAACCACGTCTGTAAGTGCTTGGTTGAAATATGTTAAGTGGAAGAAGATTATAATAAGAAATGGAAATAAGATTATTCAGACTTCCTTTAACAGTTTCTGCCTTTCCTTCACCCCTTCACTAATTCCTATCTGAAAAATCATGAGGTGGTAAAGTTCTTCCATCAGACTGTGGAAGCTGATTTATAAAGCCTGAGATGATTTACATGTGATCCTACACAGTAAGTCAGTATAACAGCTTAAAACTTGTTGAGGTGGACATACCTTGACTGTTGTGGGATCCATGGGAAGTGCTCACTCGTGGTTCATCTGGCAGTACACAGAGAGCTTTACTGCCTGCTGGCTAGCTGAGAGCTTTCCTATACTCTGCCTTGCCGCTACTATCTTTGCATCCCTCCCCACAGTCTTCAAGAATTATTTTTTCTCCTGCTTTGCGGACATCCTTTTGGATCTTTAGCTTGCAAGGTTGATGTCTTCACTGTTATACTGATGCTGATGAGGTGCCAGGTGGGAAAGAAAAAACTTGTAAACTGTCTCTCGTGCCTAATGGTCTTGGCCTGTTGCCACTTAACTCTCCCAATGAACAGCATCAAAGAAATCCCTGGTGTCGTGGTTTAACCTCAGTCGGCAACTAAGCACCACGCAGCCGCTCGCTCACTCCCCCCCACCCCCGGTGGGATGGGGGAGAGAATTGGAAAAGCACAAGCGAGAAAAACTCGTGGTTGAGATAAAAACAGTTTAATAATTGAAATAAAATGATGATAATAATAATAATAATATGATGACAATAATAATAATACACAAAACAAGTGATGCACAGTGCAATTGCTCACCACCCGCCGACCAATGCCCAGCCAGTCCCCGAGCAGCGGCCCCCCCCGGCCAGCTTCCCCCAGTTTATGTACTGACCATGACGTCACATGGTATGGAATGTCCCTTTGGCCAGTTTGGCTGTGCCCCCTCCCAGCTTCCTGTGCACCTCCAGCCTTCTCAGTCGGTAGAGCATGGGAAACTAGAAAGTCCTTGGCTAGTGTAAGCACTACCTAGCAACAACTAAAACATGGGTGCCTTATCAATTTTGTTCTCACCCTAAATCCAACACACAGCACTGTACCAGCTACTAGGAAGGAAGTTAACTCTATCCCTGCTGAAACCAGGACACCTGGGGATAAGCAGTGGAGGATAGAAAAAATATCTGGCACTGCAGAACTAGTACAAACAATTTTACCTCTTGTAGTTATTCCAAAGCTGTTATTTATTTATTATTCAATTTAACTCTTATAAAACATTAAAGATTATAAGTATCGGAAAAGCCTACATTACTAGACATAAAATAAGGAAATAAATTTTGTGGTTAAAGCTCTATCCCAGTATTCCACAAGATCAACAGATATTTAGTGCAAATTTGTGTTACCAAGTCTAGGTTTGACATTCCCAAGTCGTTTTTATATTGCCTTAAATTACTTCTGCATTAATTCTAATTTGTTTAGATTATTCAGCTTTATGATCTCACCTATTTATTATTCCTGCTTAATTTTCAAGGATTGTAAGTATTTAGATAATTTTTCATTTTTCCATTGAATTTGTTATTGAAACGTACTTAGCTTCTATTTGCAAATAATTGCCTTAAAACTAAAATATTTTTTCATGTTTTTTTTTTCTCCAAAATAGACAGCTGTCACTTAACAGCCTTTTCCCTCCTTCTCTGCAGGGCCACCTTCTGCTCCGAGGAATGTGATTTTTAACATCAATGAAACAGCTCTCATGTTGGAATGGAGTCCCCCGAGCGATACCGGAGGAAGAAAAGATCTCACTTACAGTGTCATCTGTAAGAAATGTGGGTTGGACGCCAGCCAGTGTGAGATTTGTGGGGGAGGTATCCGTTTCATCCCCAGGCACACAGGTCTCATCAACTCCTCTGTGACAGTGCTTGACTTTGTGTCGCACGTGAACTACACCTTCGAAATAGAAGCCACGAATGGGGTCTCGGAGCTGAGTTTCTCTCCCAAGCAGTTCACAGCTATCACGGTTACCACAGACCAAGATGGTAAGTCCCAGCACTGCATGTCTGTCACTGTGCCCCTGTCATCTATGCACTTATTGGGGGGATCGTTTTGTTTCTTAGAAGTCTGGGTCAGCAAGTTAGGATGTTTTGCAGATTGTTACACGTTTTTAAGTGCTTTTGGTGAGGACTTCCAGCTTCTGGAAGCTGCTGAGGGCATTAAATGTTTTTGGCAGTTGGCCCTTGACTCCAATACACAGGGCACAAAAACGTATCTTCCTGTTTAAAATTAAGTGCAAGCTTTAACTACCCGAGACTAGCTGTAACAGTGGTTCATCAGAACTGGAGTCTGCATCTGGTGGTTTTCCAAGTCCTTCCTTACGATTTCCGTTTTGAAAGAGTAAAACACCCCAGGTTATCTATTGCAATTTCACAATTCAAAGATGAAATGAAAGTGAACTCACTTCCTTTAGTATCCATGTTTCATAGTACTAATACAGCACGCTTCCCTGTAAGATATTTCAACATCTGGATGAGCCATTTCCTTAGGTGAGGTATCATAATAGATTTTTTTGTTCCTTTAATTGTCCACTTTACATTATTGCATTATAGAGCTAAAAGAGCTCTATATTCTTGTTTATTTCTGCAACTTTTTCCTCTTCCATCTCTAGAAATACTTACTATGCCAGGAAACAGCATCACAGGTTACCAACAAAGCCACCTATATAGCAGTGTTGTCTTCTGGCTTGTGTTACTGTAGATGAGAAGGTTATTTCAAAATTATCCCTTGCTGACATTCGTTCCAGAAATGGTTTTCACCTACTGTGCAGTGACATTGCAACTGTAGCTGAAGTGTTTAATGTAGAACAGGAACCAAACTGGCAAAACTACGGTTTTGAGTAGAAGACCTTTGATAATATGAAAGTATTTACTAAAAGTGCTAATGTTCAGAAAGTTCCTATTATGTTCCACTTGTAGAAAGGCCCTGGGTTCTTTCATTGATCAGCCTAGCAAAAATCTGCTTACCTGTGTATCTGGGACAAGTAGTTTTGTTGATGAGTAAGTAATGACTTGTTTGCCTTTGGGCATACAAAAATTAACAGCTTGCTGTGATGATGATGATGATAATGACAATGGTAATACTAATAATATTCATGAAAATGGATTAGAAAAATCATGAAAACTAGTCACTCACCATTCATGTGATGATGGTAACAGAAGAGCTAATTATCTAAGATGCCTAATGATATACGCCTTGCACTGAGAATTGCCTTAAGCTCTTAGGCTATGTATCATGTTGTGAACCTGTATCTCTCTTTTCCGTTCTAATTAAAGGAAAAAAATGTGGTGCCAGAAACTACCCCTATATATACTTATTTTTAGATGTTTTGTTACATGGTGCTAAATGCAAGTCACCAAGCATACACAGGTGGAGGTCACCAGAGATATGGTTTGTTTTTAAACTGACTAACAGCTGTGTGAACACAGCTTGTGATATGTATTTAAGTGGTGGGCTTTTAAAAAATGTCTTGCTGTTGTCTGTTCCTGGTTTAAGGATATAGATTTTCACTGCAGTTTACTCAAAACAGGGAAAAGACCAATGTTTTGATAATTTGTGACACACTGACAGAAAACTCTAGAGTGTAGGCTGCTTGCATTCCCTATAATAATTCTTACATTACTAAAAATGATGTTGGAAGGGCCTCAGAGAATTTAAGACCAGATTTCCAGAATATCTGTCAGTTTATTTGGATATAAAAAGACAGCTTTGAAGGAGAAAGCATTGTAAAAAATGAAATGGAGGCATCTATAAAATGTAGTTATAAAGATAAAACCAATTTTGTAGGCGTACAAACCATGTAGTTGTATAAAATCATAAGCACGGTAACTATATATTTAGAAGTAAAGAGAGAAAGATAATGTCATATGAAATATGGATGAAAATTAATGGAGTTTTAGGTGATGGAATTATTGAGAGGACAATGAACATTTTTTGTGAGTTACTTTTAGTCAGAAATAGGAAGTGTAATGGAGAAAGCTAGAGTATCTAACCTCAGAAAAGGAAGCTGTAGAACTAAAGCTTCAGAACGTTGCAGAGTCTTTATTAATGTTTATAAGTCACATTAAAGTTCTCAGATAAAAGGATTAGTGACCTTTTTATTTTTATTGTTAGCCAGCTATTAGTAAATAATTTATAGTTTTGCTTTTGCCATATTTACCAAAATACTAAATAATTGCCTTTATATTGTGGGTTTCTTTCTAGCTATACCACCAAAGAGTAAACTCACTGTTGCAATCTTTCCTTGTAATCTTACTTATACTGAAATGGACAGTACTTATTGCATGGTGTTGCAGGTTTGTGCACATGTTCATATAAAACAAAGATCCAAGATTATATGCATGACATGACAACAAATCAAAAATATCTTAATGTGTACAAGGACTGCATTACCAAAAGTCCAAACATATTGGTTTAAAACAATTTTTCTCTTTTGATGTGTGTCTAATGTGAAGGATCTAGATCTATAATAAATTATACCTACACAACATATTTATCCCATGCTCATACTACCTTTTTATATGTAATCATGTAATCTTTTCATACATACTGTTTTAATGTTTTTGGTATAGACGTTGCATGAAGTGATAGACCTCTTTATAAATATATAAATTGTTTTCTTCAATGTCATATCTTTGTTAAGAATATAGAACAGTATCTTCAGCTCTTGTAAATCCAGTCCATTCTGTTAGCTGTAATAATTTACAGTAGCTGAGGAGCTAGCATTTTATTTTCTTTGAGCATATTGGGTTTACTTCCCTCTAGTGGCCCTTTCTTTTTGATGGTTTATGTGAAATTAACAGATTCTTCTTTAAACATGCAAAATTATGAGCTTGTTCCTCAGGGTTTTTTCTCTCTTTTTGGAGGAAATATTGCTGTTGGCATTTTGCTGAATAAAGTAATGCAATGAAGAGTGCTGTGGGCATCCACAGAAACTGAAGAATTGTATTCTACAACAGTTAGTGAGCAGAGTAGTCTGAGAGCATCAAAGAGTGAGAATATTTGCTGACAGGAGAATTGAACTAGTTCAAAATTGATTAAGGCTCATCTTTATGCACAGACCTCTATCACAACTAATATTAAAATCTTAACTACCTCCTCATGCAATCACCAGCATCGACAAGATTAAGTACACTGCTCAGCTCTAACAAGGACAAGAAGCAGACTAAAGGAAAGTAACACTTTGAAAAGGCTTTGCAAACTGCATCCCGCAAACCTCTCTGCGGTTTGATGACTAAAGCATTACCAGACCTGATCAAATACTGAAAAAATATTACTAACATTAATGTAAGTAATATAAAAAGAATTTGGTAGCATTCATTGCTTTTTTAGTTATTAATTTTGTACAAATATTTGTAAATTCCATACCCATGTTTTTGGTTTCCCCCTCGGGCTTCATAAGGAAACAAAGTTTCTGTGGTCACATTGTCAGACAGCATAAAGAACTGTGAACCCATTAACCAACATGAGTTTGATAACAGAGAAAAAGATTTCACAGATATTTTGTGCTCTCAACAGAAGCGTGAAAAATGACCACTTACAGTCACCAAGCTGTTGGTTGGGTCTGCAAGTCGAAAAGCAAGGTTCAGCTACATAAGGCTTGCTTACTGGACTAGAGACGCCAGGTGACCGACCACTTAACCTGTCTATTGGCTAGTCAGTAAAGAAAGAATATATATAGTTCCTGTATGACCACAGCACATGCTGTCCCTTGTCCAGCAAGTGTGGCAAACAAGGATGAGGTAGGGATGTGTTAGGAAGTGTAGATGTTGCAGATGGAGAGATGAGGGAAGTGAGCTACATGCTACTCTTGCATAGCTTTGTTTCAAAATGTTTTGAGATATCAAAATAATCCCTACTTTAAATTCAGATAAATGGACAGATAGATAAACAGAACGAGATTCTGCTCAGAAAAGCACTTAAGCAAAGTCCCTGTTCAAGGAAGAACATTAGCACATATTAAGAGCTTTCCCAAATCACTGCCAGAGTAATTTGTAAACAACTGAAAGGTAAAACATGTTTTCAAAAAAGCCTCATCAAAAAATGTTTAACAATGCTGTTGTTCAGAAAAGTGCCTGGATGCCTTTTCTTTATGGGAGAAAGTTTTATACAGCAGTAAATATGCTGAGTATAAAGTAATTGTACTCAATCGACTTTAAATCATTGTGTGAAGCAGCAGAGAACTATATGCTGAATTGTAATTTATGTTTCTCTTATGACTAATGGAAGCAAGAGACTATATATATAGTCTATATATATATATATATAGTCACTATATACCTTTCTTAGCATGCCTTAGAGTCTGCATTGCCTAAAGAACATTCAGAAGTACTTGAGGTTTTTCATACATAATTGAAGTAGTAAATAATGAATAATTAAGCAAAACAGAACTTAAAACAATAGTTCCTATTTCCAAATAATGGTCCACATACACATTCACTCAGTGGGCTTTCATATGTTGTATTACTTGAGAACAGAGGGGGTTTTCAACGTTACACTGTGCAGAGGCGGAGTAGAGTCTGAGTACATGATTATACAGACAGATAGTGGCCTGCTCCGTTTCAGTCCACCATTTCAACTGCATCACTGAGGAGCGGCAGTCCGTAGCTATAGTGTTTCTCTGACTGAGTAGTTTCCTCATTGTCCGGTCTGAATCTCCACCACATCATGTCCCTCCTGTGGGACTCTATGCTGGCAGCCCCCAGCTTACCTTTCGCCTGCAAGTGCCAAAGCAGTGACCTCCCCTAAAATCACTGTCCAGCCATGGGACACTTCGCAGGCATCGTTCCATTCGTGGGCTCCTTCTGCATGTCTTTTCTGCCTTGGTGGAAAGCTTACACTAGAGAAATACTCCTTCTGCCATTGCATCCCAGAAATCTCATTTTCTCCCTCCTCAGTTCTGCAGTTTGTGAATGACTCTGGTCTCTGTGACATCAAAGACCTGCTACCAGTGGACAAAGTTTGAGGCATGAGAGACTTTCACTCT